GAGCGGCTGCTGAGCGCAGCGTGCCAGGCCGCCTAGGCCCTCCTGACTCTGAAACTGGGGCAGCCCGGGCCGCGGGACACTCGCTGACGACCCGAGGGAAGCCGGTGCACTGGGGACGGGGCGAGGGGCGGTGGACAGTCCCTCCTAAAGCGACTTAGTTCTGTGAGTGAAACGACCAATCAGCGGGCAGCCGCTGCGCAAGGTCGGCGGGCTTTTGGAGTACCCTGGGCAAGCCAAGGCAGCAGAGCTCCAGACCTGGTGCTGGTATTTCAGCCAGATACACCCCAAAGCCTAGAAACATGAGTCAGTGCTCTCCCTCACACAGCGATGCTCTGGGCTAGAGAACAGAGAGGGCTTTTGGGCACCCTCTTGGAGCAGTATAGCCAAAAGGCATGTATAAAGTTCTCTTCCCAGAACTCCAGAAGGAGCTGGAAGAGACTCAAATAGCTTCTGGATGTTTCACCCTAACTGGAAACTCCAGTGGCATGAGGGTACTGAGTGAAACGCGGGGGGGCGGGGGGGGGGAATGTATATTTACATTGAGCAAGGATGGACTTGTCTGTCAAGATCTGAAGTCATGGAATTAAATTCAGCACACTTAATCCTAATGGTGGTTTACCTGTCACCAAGTACCTTAGTGGAGAGGAGGTGGGGGTGCCTCCCAATGGAAAGGCTGATATAAGCTATGTGAAAATCCAGGATGAGATGGACAGGTGAGATGGGGAAAGCAAAACCACTATCCAGTTCATCTACTCCAAGAAGTTGGCACTGGCCAGGAAAGCCATTACCTGCTAGCCTCAGAATACCAGTCTTACTGTCATCACACAGTTGAAGGCCTCCCATCACATAGCCCTCAGCTCCTTCCCTCCACCCAGAGGTGCCCTCAAACCCAATGAGATTTCCAGAGCACACACATCTCCTTTAAGGCTCTTGGCACCCAGCTGGACACCAGTGCAAGCTGCAGGGTGCACCAGAGCCAGAACACCACACAGAACTTGCTACAAATAAGCACAAGAAGCCTCCGGGGGTGGCTGTGCACAGGTATTTATTGATGGGTGCTGCATCAAGCATGCAGCCCTGGCCCTGCTCTCAGAGCTCACAGCTGGTCACTCTGCCCTCCTACTCTATTTTAAAACTGCAACAAACATAGATCTTTGCACAATCAGCAGGCAGCATCCTATAAAGCAAGGTTTCCAGGTTATTAGTCATTGTTACAGTGAAATTCTAAGACAGTTATCCTTTAACTCTGTAGTCACAGCAGTGATGTGATGTAATACCCCACAAATTAACATTTATGGCTTGATTCCTCCTAAGTTTGTGGGGTCTACTGAAAGAAAAACAGATCCAGAGGGAAGGGCTCAGTAACACCAGACCTCAGAATACTGGCCAAGTTTTCTATACCATCAAACTGCCACAGTTCTCACAGGGCAGGGAACAATTTCCTGCAAAATCTGCGCCATCCGCCCTCCCTGATGGCGCAGCAAGTTAAAGCACAGCACTGAGAAGCTTAAGCCACTTCCGCATGAGTTTGATTCCTGCCTGCCCCGGAGGAGATCCACATGGCGGGGCAGACCTCTCCTAACTCGCCTGCTGCTCCCCTCAGCGGTGTACTTCGTCGACCTGCCTGTTCTGTTCCCTGCTCTGTCTGTGGTGAATCCTCTCACCCTCTGTATCTCTGACCTGTACCCCAGTTCTATATGAATAAATAAAAAGATCTTAAAAAAAAAAATCTGTACCATCACATCAGGTGCATGAGCTGCCCTATGACTCCTGGAGGCCTCTAGGGAGGTGTTGCTTAAAGCTTCATAAAGACTCATAGCATGAGCAGCATAGTAAGCCTTAGCGGAAACTGCTTTTCAGATATCTAAAAACTAAAATGACAAAAACACTTAAGTTTACTCCACTTACTACACCTTTCTAACATAAGTGCAGAGTTCAGGAACAAATAGTAGCAAAGCACCTGGCTTTTCTGAGTTAAAAAGAGAACACAGGGGTCCTCCCTGGTGGCGCAAGGGGTAAAGGGCAACACTATGAGACTATCTACAGCCACTGCAGCACAAGTTCCATCCCTGGCCAGGGAACTGACTCACATGGTACAGCAGGCCTCTCCTGTCTCGCCCCCTATTCCCCTCAGCAGTGTATTTCAGTCTATATCTGCCTGTTCTACTCTCCACTCTGTCTCTGGTGAATCCTCTCACAACCACCTCTAGCCTGCACCCCAATTCTTGTATGCATAATAAATCTTAAAAAAATAAAAAGAGAGCATCTTTGGGTTATCGTTCTAAAAACAGATCTTATCTTCATCTAAATTGTCTAATTTAGGTGCCGTCTTCACATCAGCTGGCTTGATGGGCCGTCACCCTTAGGTGTCGGACTATGACTGCTCAGAGAAGCCACTGTTTTGATTACATTGGCAATTTAAGGGAAATTGTCTGTATTTTAAGATCATCTAACATCCAAGTGCCTTCCAATATGTGACAGGTTATTTTTTTGCTAGTCATTCAAACAAACTCACACCACGAGGAAGCACATTTAAAGTCCCAGAAAGCTCACTTTTACAAAGAGGTGGCAAGAACATCTTAGACAACCAAACATAAATGCCAACCATCATAAGGTTATGTTTTTTTTTTTTTTTAAAGATTTTATTTATTTATTTGTACAGAACTGGGGTACAGGCCAGAGATGCGGAGGGTGAGAGGATTCACCAGAGACAGAGCAGGGAGCAGAACAGGCCGATCGACGAAGTACACTGCTGAGGGGAGCAGCGGGCGAGTCAGGAGAGGTCTGCCACGCCATGTGGTCACCTCCCGGGCAGGAGGGATCGAACTCATGCGGAAGTGGCTTTAGTTTCTCAGTGCAGTGCTTTAACCCGCTGCGCCACCAGGGAGGGCCAGGTTATGTTTTTTAAAGTCACCTGTTGAGGACAAACTATTCTATTTTTAAAAAGTACTAAATCACTACTTCAAGAGCCTATTTAACACAGAACATGAAATGTACTACTTATGGGAATTTGCGGACACCAGGTACTTGACATCATGTCCCCTAATGGAAGTGTCTAGTCCCTGTACTTTATCACTTACTGGAGGAAGGCAGCCCACCGCCAGGGGTGCCAGCTCTCTACCTCCTTCACAAGAAGCTGCAGTCAGCACACATTACCTGCAGCTACTACTGCCTGCATGGGGACATTTAAGTTTTAACTGGAGGAAGGAGGATGGGAAGAAGTTCCTCCACCTCAGGAACCTTCAGAGGGGAAAGGAAGGGATAAATGCGAGCGTGAGGAAGGCATTAACTCCATCTGCACGTAGAGAGGCACTTTCAGATGTGGAAGAATCACAAACTGCATCTTGGGCACAGCTGGCAATGAAAGCAGGTTCCCGCCTTCGGGTAACAACTGCCTTTCCTGCTTTTACAGCTCTTTTTAAGTCCAGTGGTCATGAGCTCAGTGTGACCACAGCAGAGCACTGCAAGGATTTCCCTTGGCTTCCCTGTTCATGGCTAGGGAGAAAAAAAAGTTCCATCCTTTAAATAAGTAATGGATACCTCCAATCTACTACTAAACACTTCAAACAATCAAAGCATCTGCAAGAGGCACACATTTTTGATAGGGTTTCATATCATTTCTCAAATAAGCCAATACAGACTACTAAAAAGATAATTCCTTGACAAGATAAAACTATCATCTCTTCTGAAGTGGCAATTTCCTTTTCTTAGGACTGTAACAGGTTTTATACTAAACATAGGAACAAGATACCAGTTTAGCTTTTAATGTCACATACAAGAACACATCAAAGGGATTATCACCGGAAAGTTACTCCCCTCATCAGGTCTTGACAAAGCTCTGAGGCTCAATCAAAATAAACTTCCTTACTACAACTAGGTGACTGGGAGAAAAGAAAAAGCTAGGGTAAACTACCAACAATAAAGGCACTTGATTATATTGACAAGTAATTTTGATCAGACCAATGTCTTCAACTGATTTTAGGAGCTGGGAGCAAAGTTATGTGGAAAGTGCCAGGGAGGTAGCTGTTAGTTCCCCTTCTCCCTGAGAGTCCTCTCCAGGTGAGAAGGGAGCATGGCTATAGGCACCTCTCCAGGTGAGAAGGGAGCATGGAGATCGGCCAGGGAAGCTTTGGTAAAGGGTTATGAGTCCCCAGCAGGTTCATGCTAGTAAGAGCCATGTCCAAAGGTGCAGTAGCTCAAAGGTAAACCAGAACTTACACCCTGAGCATTTTCAGTGGAATCAACTGTGAATGTTAGGAATGAGCTTGTTCAAGTACCCAGTTTGGGTATGGGGGCACTGGCTCTGACTGGGCACCAAAAAGTGGGCAGGTCTATGCGCTGGGCCTGACCAGCAAACTGGCCACACACCTACCAGGAGAGCCAGGAGGTGCTGCCCCAGCAGTGGGCATGAAGCTATAGCAGGGTTGAGCAAAGGCAGCAAGCCTGAGCCCCTCACATGGCCTGGGCTTAATAAGCTGAGCTGGGGCTCTGACCCAAACCTGGTGTCCCACTGAACCTGGTGGGGGGCAGTTTCTTCTTCTATTTGAAAGGGGTGGAATGGGTGCAGAGGGGCTTATAATGTCTGCATGCCAACATGACTGACAGACGAGGTCAAGTACACAAGGAAACCAGCACTAGGTGGTGGCCTGTGTGTCACCAAAGCTTGGTCAGCCAACTTACTGGCCAGGGTGGGTGGCAAGATACACTCAGGGTGGGCAGAAAGCTACAGCTCTCCACTTGGCCAACTTTTCCCAAAAGGTGCTGTATGTATGACAAAATGAGAGAACTTTTCTTTCCTTATAAATAATGAAGCTTAAAGGAAACAAAAGGTGTTATCATATAGAAGTTTTTCAGTATTCCATTACTTCCAATATTTCCATTATTATGATTCCAATATTCACTCTAAGGTTGAGATTTCAAGTTTTTTGAACAACTAGGCAGTTAAAACTCAAGAGTGTGCTGTAATTTTTTTCTTTTGCATTCAGCTTGTTCTAGTCTAAGCTGCTCTTAGCATTTATTTTTTAAAAAGAACCATATTCACAATATAGAACAAGTTTATAAAACTGGTGTGCAAAATTCATTGTAAAAGAGTAATACTATTCATTTAGAAACAAGCTGCCTTCTGTTTACATTTTCTTATTCTTGATATAAATTGGAGACATGTACTATTTAAAAATAAAACTTTTTAAATAGTAAAATATACAAGAGATTCCTGAGCATAACAAAAATATCTTGAAAATATGTGGCCATTTGAAGTATAAAATAGTATGTGTAAGAATAGCATGATTATAAAACCACCCCTTAAAGGCTTACAAACAGTACAAAATAGTGTCTTTTCTGAGTGCATAATTATACATTAGTGCAAACAAAATGTCTCAAAATTTAATGGTTACAAATCTCAAAGATTTGCAGAAGTGCGCAAAACATGGAACTTCTTTAACGTCATTCGAACAGAACCCAGTTCTTGATTAATCCTTTCCAAACGATCTTCTAGGGCTTCCTGAGTAAAAATAATGGAGAAAGTTTCATTAGAACTCTTAGGTCAGGTTCACTACTTCCCTAATTACCAACAAATTGACTTTTCTTTTAGCAAAAGAACAAATACGAACATATTTTCACAAATCATTATATCATTTATCATTTCATTTAAAGAATGGGAATTCATTTTCTAATCACTGAAAATAACTGTTGCCTTTTAGAGATAGTCTCAGTATATTTGGTACACTGAGCACATAGAAATTCTAGTGAAGGCCATGCACCTAATTAAAAGGAAGTGATGGTGACTTCATTATACTAAGCTGTATGGGGAGCCCAGGGACACCTCACACCAGAGAAATCAGACATGCACTAATAGCCCCCTGACATGTAGATTGAGTAACTTTCTTCTGACAAAATTTTTAATTTAAAAGGGAGGTGAGGGCTCTCCCTGGTGGTGCAGTGGGTTAAAGCACCACATTATAAAGCTCTCCAAAGCCGCTGCAGCATAAGTTTGCTCCCCACCAGGGAGGTGACCCACATGGTGTGGCAGACCTCTCCTGATCCATCCACTGTGTCCCTCAGCAGTGTATTACAATAGATCTGCCTGTTCTGCTATACACTCTGTCTCTGCTGAATCCTCTCACCCATCACACCTCTAGCCTGTACCCCATTTCTGTAAATAAATCTTTAAAAAAAAAAAGAGGGAGCTGAAAACCACTTTTTCAAGGGATAAAAGATTTCACAATGAATCAATGTAACAACTTTATACATTTATATAGATATGTATATCTATATATATACAGAGATATACATAACTACTGTTAAATAAATACCTAGAATAGGTATTTATAAATACCCATAATAATAAATACCTACTGTTAAATAAATGTACCTAGAATACATTTGTCATGTTAGGTAAAAGATATTCAGTATTAACCCCAATTAAATCTTGAAAGGGAACTAAATTTTTTCCTCTTTAACAGGATTAAACATTCATCACAGAATATTTATAGAGAAGCTAAAAGACAGAGTTTGCTTTCAGGCCCTCCCTGGTAGTATAGCGGGTTAAAGTAGAGTACAGTAAGTTAGCTGCAGCTGCTTCTGCACAAGTTCGATCCCTGGCCAGGGAGGTGACCCACATAGCACAACACTGTCTCACTCACTTCTCCCCTCAGCAGTGTATTTCACTGATATGCCTGTTCTGCCCCTGGCTCTTTCTCTAGTGAATCCTCCCACGCCTCCACCCCCCACACCTCTGGCCTATACCCCAGAGTTCTTGTATGCAAAAATAAATCTTTTTAAAAAAACTCCTTATATGACATTGTTTAAGATTAATGAGCAATATTCCAGTAGATGTACCATATTTACCAATAGCTCAGTATAAATTTAGGTTCTTTATAATTTTGGATATGAATCACCTTAAACACACCTCTACACATGCAAGTATTGCTTTAGGACTCAGAAGCGGAAACTCTAAGGGCCCAGGAAAGAGAGGACCTTCAGCTGGCCACTCTGGAGTATCAGGCACTTCCAGAGGGTTTCTACCATGGACCTGGCACTATTCTTTTGTTATTCATTAGTGAGGTCCAATTTTCTTTTTTCACATATAATTGTATGTAGGCATACTCAGCTCCTTTTTCTGCCATTTTTCTTCTCATTGGACTAAAAACAGCTTTGACATACATGAACAGAAACTAATGCCCTGTCTTATTTTAAGAGATATGATTATATAAAAATATATTAAACTGATGCTCTAGATGATTAAGAGTAGCAACCAGTTTCTTTCCTCCTTCCAAGAAATTATATTAAGAAGAGTTTCAAGTTGAGAGTTTTACTTTCAGAACAAAAACAATAAAAAACATGGCAAGCTGGGGACATAAATCCTAGAAAAACACGTCTCTGCTCTCTGTTGTTTTCTCTCTGACTTTCTTTCCTTCTGTTAATACAGATGAGTATGAAAAGGAACTTTTCCTTTGAAGGCGCGAAAATAAAAGCATGATGTAATGAGAGCCATGTTCTTGCTGCTGTTATGCCTAAAATGTTACAAAAGAGCAGATTTTAAATGTTCATGCATTTTAATTTTCTGAAAAGCAACTAAAGGAAATGTGCCAACCTTGTGCTCTCACAACCTTCTCCCAACTGCAAGGTGCAACAATTTTACTGTTTAATCGGTGAAAAAGGATTCAGAAAGAAACTTCAGACAGGACAGGGGAAAACAGACACACATAGGGAGGTTTAATCTGCAAACATCACCTTAGCACAAGCTCATAAAAGACATACTATCATTTGCTTGCAGGTTTATTTCTTGAAAACACAATGGCCAAGAACACCTGGTTCTTGAAGGATGATTTCAGTTTTTATTCCTGAAAGCCAGCATGCCTGACACATAGCTTCAGTGTGCCCACAGAATCCACTTAAAACTCCTCCTGGGCTTGTGGCACACTGACCAGCAGAGCCTTTACAGCAGACCCAGGCCACACTTCACCTGATGTTGCCACACTTCACCTGATTTAATCTTGTCTGCAAAGTGATGCGTCCTCCAGCAGAAGGCATTCGACTCAGTGCTGCCTCAATCTGTTAACACACCAAAAAGTCTAAATTAGAATAAAGAATTCCAGGCCCTTTCTGCTGGCACAATGGGTTAAAGCACAGCACTATGAAGCTATCCACGGTCGCTGCAGCTCAAATTCAATCCCTGGTCAGGGACATGACCCACATGGTGACCTCCTGCTGCTCCCCTCAGCAGTGTTATTTCATTTGATCTGCCTTGTTCTACTCCCCATCTGTCTCTGGTGAATCCTCTCACCCCCCACAACTCTGGCTTGTACCCCAGTTCTTATATGCATAAGTAAATCTTAAAAAAGAAAGAAAGAATAGAGAATTACAGTTACTGGCCAAGAGGTTTATAAGAGTGGAAGTCACGGCTTTTGCCTCATGTCTTGCCAGCTCTACCATCGCCCAAGGCCCCTGTCACAGTAACAACTTAGGACAGCCCCACTCACACGCTCACTTCTGGGAGTTGGGGGGATATGACTCAGCTCCTTCTCCTGTTCCTTAGATAGGAGCACAGAGGTCAAAGAAACACTACATTTTTTATTTTACCTGATCTTTTTCTTTTGTAAGTTCATCAAAAAAACGCTCTGTTTCAGCAAGGGTCCTAATTTTTGCTGTATATTCAAAGTCACCACCTTGTGCCGCCACCTCAGGCCTAACCAGCTCGCAGCTGTCCAGCTTATTCCTCTCCCATGCTGAGCAAACAGATGCTGCCTTCACCTCACTCAGCGGCGCTTCAGGGAAACAGCCGTGACCAACAGGGATGGTGGCGACTTTTTCTGAATATTGTTTTTCTGTCAAGAAATAAAACATTTCTTTTTCTTCTATCAACTTTTGTGGCGATTGCACACAATACTAAGTATGTCATCCAACGTCACTTTCTGGAAATAGCGACTAAATGATCAGAAATGGTAATGAGAAGAGATGCAATTGTACTTTCTCCACAGAAGCTCCATGAGCCTTGCCCTCAATCTGACAACCTGCACAGCTTTTCCAAATGGGCAGAGGACACTGTTCAGTAAATTTAAATGAACTTTAAACTTATAGCAATTAAAAAGTTTAAAAGCCAAAACACATGGAACAGACTAACACAAACACTAAAGAATCAACACTGAGGGTCTACCCAAGTGATTTCCCTTTTACACACACTGTAATTCTACTACAAACTTGCAATATAAATGATAAAAAAGTTCCCAAAGCCAAGTTGTATATAAAATCTAAAATATAGAAGAGAGAAAAGGTAAACAGAAGGCCCTGGCAGTCGGACACCAATGCCCTGAACCCAGGTCCCCACTCTTCAGCGCTGGGCCAAATTGACGTGCCCTGTGCACACCCAGAGGGCTTGCTTTTAAAGGCACCTGGGTAGGAAAATATTTATTTGCTAAGTGCAGGACATTACAACTTTTAGAACCCTGAAAACTCACAAAGTGACTAAACCCATAACTAATTATGTTGTAGGAAAAGATACCTTCTGAGTCAGCTACAGGAAGAAACTGGAATTGCTTTCTTGGGTTGGTACGTTGTGAAGGAATCACAGGAACAGTATCTAAATCATCCAAAAGTATATCAAATCTATTGGATGAAGCAAGTTACTTGTGAGAAAAAAATGTTGACTGATTCTCCCTATTTCCACTACAAATATGAGTTGGCACCCAGTTAACTCACATATTTACACATTTTGTAAAAAGAAATATACTCTTTTAAATATACTCTTCTAAAATGGAATATACTATTCTAAATATACTTAATACACTCTTCTAAAACAGAAATGTGATTTACATTTTCTAGCACTGAGTTATAGTTGCATACTGGAGACTAAGAGCATCTACTCATACATGATGTCATTTGACTTTTATCATGACCTGGGAAATAAGCAGGGCAGGTCTTATGCCTAATTACAGATGAGGAAACTGAGGTTCAGTGCTCCAAAAGACCCCCTACAACATCCTACCCAGGGAAGAAAGCCAAGCTCAGCCTGAGCCCTGAGTTCAGCCTGGTCCAGGTCAGAGCAGGCAGCCTGGTGCCCTGTACAAAATGACTAAGAAATGTCCCTGTGTCAGAAGCCTTTTCAGGAAAAGACATCATTCTGCATCCAAGGGCTGGAGGGATTTGAGGCAGTATCTAAATTTAGTAGTAGTTTACATCAGTTAAAAACTTTTTTCACAGGGACCTTCCTAGTGGCACAAGGGCTTAAGTTTCAGCACTATGCTACTATCTGCGGCCACAGCAGCACGAGTTCGATCCCCGACCAGGGGGGTAACCCAAATGGTGTGGCAGACCTCTTCTGTCTTGCCTGCTGCTCCCCTCAGTAGTGCATTTCAGTCAATCTGTCTGTTCTGCTCTCCACTCTGTTGCTGGTGAATCCTCTCACCCTCCCTCACCTCTGGCCTGTACACCACTTTTTGTATGCATAAATAAACTTTTTAAAAAATAAAAATAAAGCTGTTTTCACATATGTATTTATATAGTGCTGTTTGCTCTTAGTATAATAGTCATTTAAATGATTTACTACATCTACAAGATCCCACTGGCAACTAAAACACTAGTGGCTAGGTAGAAGCTTAAGTTGACATTTAAAAAATCATTAATGGCCCTCCCTGGTGGCGCAGCGGGTTAAAGCACTGCACTGAGAAGCTATAATAGTCATTTAAATGATTTACTACATCTACAAGATCCCACTGGCAACTAAAACACTAGTGGCTAGGTAGAAGCTTAAGTTGACATTTAAAAAATCATTAACATGGCCCTCCCTGGTGGCACAGCAGGTTAAAGCACCACACTAAGAAGCTAAAAGCCACTTCTGCATGAGTTCGATTCCCACCTGCCCCAGAGGTGACCACATGGCATGGCAGACCTCTCCTGACTCGCCCGCTGCTCCCCTCAGCAGTGTACTTCATCGATATGCCTGTTCTGCTCCCCACTCTGTCTCTGATGAAGCCTCTTGCTGCCCCTGAGCCTCTGGACTGTAACCCAGTTCTGTATGCACAAATAAATAAATCTTTTTTAAAAAATCATTAACATATATTTATTTTATTCAATAATTTTAGAAACTTACCGGACTGGACTGTTTTCGTTTTTGCTAAGCAGATGACTAAATCCTGGGGACAAATTTTCTTTAGGGGATCGCTTTGGACTATAAGCCACAGTCACTGGTGTTAACATAATCTCTCTTTTTGCTACAGAAAAAAATGAAAAGGAAATGTTCTTTTCCTTCTATGTCATTTATGTTATATTGGCAGACATACTTTTTTATTCAGTATTTCTATCTAACTTTAAAAGGAATATAATTTCATTGCTAAATTTCCTGAAAGACGAAAAGGTTATACAAAACAAAAATGATTTCTAACCCTAACATTGGGAGGGAACCACTGTCCTCTATTAGTGCACCAGACATAGTTTCTGCACTCCAGCTTAAAACTGGTTTTTCAGGATTTTAGAAGTTGACTGGAAATAAGAGGGAACACCGGTGCTCTGCAGAGGTTCCAACAACATTCCCGACCACCAACCGGCGCCCCCCACCCCCACCTCTCCCAGCTGCTGGGAACATGAAGACAAAGGACATGAAGCCCAGTGTGCAAACTTGAGAGCCACGTCTGTAAGTAACCGCCGACACACACAGGGGGGCTGGTGCCGAGGGGCCTCAGACAAGCACAGCAGCATCAGCAGCACCAGCGCGCAGGCTTGTGTAAGTCTCCTTAGCTGGCTACTGTCTCAACAGCCAGAAAACACAATTAGGGGCAAAACAACCTGCCAGACAGAAACACTCTCCCCTAGTAAGCTGCGCAGATTCTCCAATGGGAGTTCTCACGACCCTGCAGACAAGGTCAGGGTGAGAAGTTCACGTCTGGGGACAACACCTGGACACACAGGGTGCCAAGCAGGAGGGAGGAACAGGAAAACATCAGCAGGGAGTCTGGACTGATAGCCTTTTGAGCCCTAAGATGTAGACAAAGAAATTTTACTTGGAGTGCTGGGTTTACGGTTTGAAGGTGGTAGGGAGGATGATCTTTGCGAGGCAGAATTAAATTTCTTTGGCCTCTGCTGGGCACATTTCTCAGGGGACCGACTTTCATTAACTGAAGTTTCAGTTTCCCGGGAATTTGCTAATTCTGTAAAAAGACAAGTTAAAAAATTAAAATAATTAAAAAAAAAATCAAACAACAGGGCCCCCCGGTGGTCCAAGTCACTGCAGCAGTGAGTTTGATCCCTGGCCAGGGAGCTGACCCACATGGTGCAGCAGACCTGTCCTGCCTCCCCCTTCTTCCCCTCAGCAGTGTAGTTCAGTAGATACACCTGTTCTGCTCCCCACTTTGTCTCTGGTGAATCCTCTCACCTTCCACACCTCTGGCCTGTATCCCAGTTCTTCTACACAAAAACATATAAAATCTTTAAAAAAAAAAACCCAAAAAGCCCAATTGCAATTATCTGCCTTTATTAGTATAGGCTACATCAAACTGGTAATTCTTCTCACTGTCTAGGTTTAATGATTATTTGCAAGTGCACCACATTATAATGATAAAAATGCTTATAAAAAAATGTGGGTTGGCCCTCCCTGGTGGCGCAGCGGGTTAAAGCACTGCACTGAGAAGCTAAAAAAGCCACTTCCGCATGAGTTCTATCCCCGCCTGCTCCGGAGGTGACCACATGGCGCAGCAGACCTCCCCTGACCTGCCTGCTGCTCCCCTCAGCAGTGTACTTCATCGATCTGCCTGTTCTGCTCCCCACTCTGTCTCTGGTGAAGCCTCTCACTGCCCCTGAGCCTCTGGCCTGTATGTACCCCAGTTCTGTATGTACAAATAAAATTAAATCTTAAAAAAAAAAAAATGTGGTAGTCTATAATTCATTCTGGTTCCCCATTTACAACTGGCATTCAAGGTGATTTTTTCAAAAGTTTATTTTTAGAAAACAGGTCACTAATTTATTCAGTAGGATACGCCACATTGGAGAGACACAGTGGAGGATGTCCACCATGCATTTAGCAGGCTGGCCCACACAAATGCCAGGCAGGACAGGAAATGCTAGGACTCGCACCTGGGAAAGATAGCATTAAAGATACTTCCTGTCTCAGGGGAAGGAGAATGAAGATGAAATGTGGTGTCTCACTAGGGAGACCATTGTCTTCAGGACTTTGTGATGTGTGTAAGACAAACAGAGGTCCAAATTTTTCAAATTTCCTTAAGTATGCCACATAAATATTTTAATGATCAGAACATAATATATGATTTGCTTTGTATAAAAGATACATGCTGTACTGTGACTATGATAAACTTGGAAATTCAATTATCTACAAAGTGGGGTTAATGCAAGAGAAAAATTCACTTACTATGAATACTTACTGTGAAAAGTGCTCTCTTTTTCTGTCTGTGTGCCCCAGTTTTTAAATATTTTTTCTTCATTAAATTCTTTTAAAGCTTTCACTATTGGTGTATCTGAAGTCTCTCTCTGTTTCTTTACCAATAAGCTTGTTGGTGAAATTCCAGACGAAAAATCCTTTCCCGAAGTAGAATGGTGCCTTAAATAATAATTGTAAGACACAGTGCTATGGCCTGGCCTGTCTGTCCCCTGTGCACATGTTGAAATTCTAGCCCCAGTGTGGCACTAGAGGCAGGGTCTGGGGCTTGACCACAGGTGGGATCCTCACTATGGGAGGGGACTCAAGGAAAGGCCATGTGAAAACATGAGTAGGCCGTAACAAGGCAGAAGGGCCTCACCAAAAACCTACCCTGTGTAGCACCCTGACTGGGCACACCTGGTTTCCAGAAGGTCGGGGTTCATATGTTTGTTCTCTAAGCTGCCCAGTCCACAGTGACTTGTTAAGAGAACCCAAACCAACCCCATACTTTACAGGGCGTCAGGGTATGAATGGGAAATGTTGCCTGACCCCAGCACCTACCCGAGGAACAGACAGGAACTGCTGCCACTCGGCCAAGGGCAGAGGGACAGAAACCTCCAGGTCCAGCTGAGGGTAGCAGGAAGGTCAACATCTATTCCAATCACCAGTCTCTGCCCACTATCAAGTGGAGACCAGACCTTCACTATGATGGCCTCAGGGTCAACGTCCTGTCCCAACCACCAGTCTCTGCCCACCGTCAAATAGAGATCAGGCCTTCACTATGATGGCCTCAGGGAAACAAGATGGCTCTGCAGAGCTTCACTGAGAGGCAGCTGAAATCCTTAAGAAAACAGAACAGTTTCTAAATATGGCCTGTGACAAAGTTCTCTTACCCAGGAATGCAGGGTTCCTCCAGTTGGTGGTCCACTCTGCACTCATGGGGGTACAAGGGCTGGCCGGTGAAGATGGAGTACTTGGCCCCTGGGATCAGCCACTTGCGCCTGGTGACGTCTGTGGTGGCCAGCGTACTATGGAGAGAAAGGCTGAGCCTGTACCATCGAGTGCACGTGCAGATATCCTGCTCTCAACTGTCACCTGCACAGCAATCCTAAAACTGCATGCTGGTAACAATCTTCCTCTAGAGACTTGAGCTATTTTACAGTTTTAAGATTTGATTGAACTGTTATTTTTGGTTTCTGTGACTTTTGAATTCTCCTGCCAGATAAGATCAGATAGTCCACACCCAGGGGCTCTGAAAGTTCCCAGGTATCCAATGCCATCTACTTGTCCTTAACACTTTGCTCAGGGCAAAGTGCTAAAGCAAAAGTGTTCCCCACCTCCCCAGGCCAGTGCTGTCCAATAGAACGTTCCATGTAAACACAATGCTCCCAAGCCATGCCCACGTCACACACTGCTGATGTGGCTGGGGAGACTGAAAGCCATCTTCAAAACACCATTTAATGCCAATTAATTAAAATGGCCACATGTGGCAATTTGGCACTACTGGTTTGAACAGCGCAGGTCTAGAAAGGTCCTATAAAAACCTGAGTCAAAAGTTCATCACTAACTGGACCTCAGAATTTGTCTCCATTTTCTGCATCCCCTGCCTGCCAGTGTCCAGGCAACTTCAGAGTCCACATGGCTCCCCAGTGACTCTTCCTCAGAAGACACGCTTGGTCTCACCAAGAATCCCCCTAAATGCTCCTACTCACCTGTTGGGTATCACCACAGTCCTGGGACCTCACCTCCACTGTGGCCTCACCTTTCCTGTGTCCCACCTCTCCCAGAGCGTCCTCTCCTAAGGCAAAGTTCCTGGTTGAGCTTTGCTAAAAGCAGGGTCCCCACTACAGAGTGGCTACCTTCATCTCAGCATACCCACACCACTTCTGTGATCAGTCACTATCTCACACCCTCCTGCTCTCCTCCTGCTCACCCCCAGTCTGAACCCTCCGAGACAGCAGTGCCTCCTGCTTTGGAGAGGAAACAGAAAAGAAAGGCTAGAATCCCTGGCACTCTGTTCCCTCTCCAAGCCAAGCTTTTTTAGTTGCCTCCTTTATCTATTTTTATTTCCACTCCCGGTCACTCCTTTTCACTCTTCCTCAATTTTTAAATTAAAATATTACAAACATCCTTAGAAGATCAAAAAAAATACTATAACAACTACTCACCCAAATGCCAGATTTAACAAATGCCAACTGGGGGGCTCCCTGATAGCACAGGGGTTACAGTGTCAGTGCTATCAAGCTACTGCCAGCCACTGCAACACAAGTCCTATTCCCAGCTGCCAGGGAACTGACCCACATGGTGTGACGGACGTCTCCTCTCTCCCCACTGCTTCCCTCAGCAGTGGATTTCAGTAAATCTGCCTATTCTGCTCCCCACTCTGTCTCTGGTGAATTCTCTCACCTCTCGCACTCCTGGACTGCAACCCAGTTCTTGCATGCATAAATAAATAAATCCTTAAAAAAGAATACCAACCTGCAACACATTTGCTTTGAATCATATTGTATAAATTACACATGCCTGGCTTTTTTAAGTCACACAGAGGGCGCTGAGCATTCGCCCTTTAGTGCTACCTTTTCTACTCAGCATGGCTTGAGAGCCATCCACACCGACATGTGCAGCCTCTACTTCAACCAACTCACCTTAGGTGTGGATACACCCCAGGTCACTACTCCTCCGGTTGATGGATGTTTAATTTATAACACATCGCTCTTCTCTGATGCTAAAACTTGCAGAGTAAGGATTTTCCTCAGGCAACAAATCTATAACCAGAGCTGGGGGTTTAGGGTATGGACAACTTCAGTCCCACTAGGCATCACCAATCTCACTCAGATGAGAAATACAAAATTCACTCAGGTGAGAAATACAAAAGTGTACATGGATGCATGGACATACAGGTACTACTCAGGCACTGGCCATCCACACTGTAAAACCTTGATTCTCTGCTATACATAAAATATACACTAGATTTTTAAAGAAGAGGTCATTATAGATACATCTAAAACGCTCTGTACTTTCCCAATTTCATTCTTCCCCAAATCAACCTTAATTAGAAGTGGACTGTGTGCACAGGTGTACTTCTATCCATTCACAGACACGCAGGACATGCAGTTAGGAGAACTGTTTTATATGCTATAGTCAATGTAAATAGAGGATTATTTCTTGTTGTTCCAATTTATGTTCTTAAGATTAAGCCATGCTGACAATCTAGTTCAGGGGTCAACAAAGGTTTTCTGTAAAGAGCCAGACAGTAGGTATTTTAAGAGCCACGTGTCAGACAGTCTTTGCTGAAAAGCCCTCAACTTTGCTGCACAGTGCGAAGCAGCTGTAGGGTACACATATGTGAATAAGTATGGGTATGTCCCAATAAACATTATTTCTAGCCCCCGATATGGACACACATTCATTTTTACGTGTCAACAAAACATTATCCTCCACTATAGAGACCACTGTTTGCCCATGGGTCTCAAAGAGACAGGAGCTGGCTGAGTGTGGCTGCGGGTTGCAGCTCCCACCCCACTCATATTCACACACTATTGTGCTGCAGAGTGTGATGCGAGAATGTGCCATGAAGTGTGGACACACTGACTAATACAGTCATGCTGTCTCATGCATTCTTCAGTGACCTCCCCACCAGTCACCCCCCCTCCAGCTGTCTCCCAATGGCCTTTTCACTGATGGCCCGGGTCACCTCCCACCACATATACGTTCTTCCCAGCCACTTTATAGCTTACAGCACTATCTAGAAAAACAACTGAAAAACATGCAACTCCAACCAAACACCTTACTCTGATTTCCAAAAGCAAACTTATAATCATTTGAATCACTTATAATCATTTGAATCCACTTGGGAGTCACATAAATTTCAAACTAAAACCCCTTAGTGGAAGCCATGCCGCTCCCCTGGCCTGCTCCCGCCACCTCTTCCCTTGCCTGTCCTTCGTCACTCCATGTTCTGTGGACTCTGCCTCCAGAATCTCTTAATCCTCCTTTGTCCACTTGTATAAACACCCAGCCAATGCCAAGCTCTTTCCTAACACTGCAGTAACCTGCCGAGTCTCTGTTTCTTTCTTTCCCATCTTCAACTCTTGGGAGGGACATTTCAAAAGTAAAAATAAGATGACATTTTACTATGTAAAGTCTTTCGAAGGCTTCAAAGGCTTCCCAGCGTAAAATCAGCCCGAAAAGCTGTGTTTGAGCTTTCTATCTAAGGCTGCTTTCTCTGTGCCGGGTATAGCCAGGCCCTGCTCCTCAAACAGAAAGCTAAGTAAGCTCTTTGCTCCCCTGTGCTTGACAAGGTCAGTTTGTCTGTCTGCAACATCCCTCCCCTCCATCACCTCTGTATCTCCACACACAGTTCATCTCTTGGTGACAAGTCACCGCCACTACAAAGTCATCCCTTAATCCCACAACTGGGCCTCCCTTTTTGCTCCCTCGAACATTCAGTTCTACTTACATGATCCACTCTTTAAATAATTCACTATGTTCAAAGATTAATAGTGAGCTAGAAAAAGTTTCTCATTTGAAAACTACAATTTGAAACATCTAAAATTTATAATTGTTAAATTATAAGTCACCTAAAATTTATAACAATTACATACAATTTTATAAAAATTATATAAAATTTGTAACAATTATAAATATTCTCTGGGAAAAATCAATATCATGAAGTAATGAGGTCATAATTAGTGATTTCACTAATACTCTTTATTCCAAAATCTTAATAAAAGCAATTCTAAAATGAAAAAGTATCAGGATAATGCTGTGAAATTATAGCAAAGCTAATTTTGAAAAACTGAAGAAGTCCATACAACTAATAAAGATCTACCTTCACAGGTCTCTCCATTAGTATGAGAATAAAATCTCTGGAATTTCAGGACTTTTTGAGATCATCTAGCCTACTGCCCTTTGTTTTCACCTATGATAAAAGTATGTTCCAAAAATATTAAGTGATTTGCCTTAGGAAATCCTTGGGACAAGTCAAAAAACACCCCAAATCACCATATTTCCAATCTGATGCTCCTTTTTCCTCATTTTGACAAATGTTTCTGGACAACAGGTTTTACAATATCTAGTAACCAGGCATTTTTACATCCTAAGTTCTATAATGGCTAAGTTCTAACCCTGATTTTCTTATGATTTAGATAGATGAGATGAGTTTGTAAGTTCAATGAAAGGGTACACCTATTTTTAGCTTGACAGAGATTAAACAAAATAACTTACTTGGCATGTGAGGGTCTCGTGGGAGATCTAGAATCATGACGAAGACTTAACATACTCTCATGCTCTACTTGCTTGACCTGAGCTTCAAGTTTTGAAATTGTTCTAATTTGGAAGCAACAGGATAAATTAAATACATGTCAACAAATTTAAAATATTTAAAATGTTTAAAACTTAAACTACAAATTACTTAAACAATCCCTCTAGAAAAGGGGAGATAAAATACCCCATTCTTGGTAAAATGCTTCATTAAACTTGACAGAGCAGAATGCAAACAGGATCAACAGAAAAGCAGCTGCATCCAGCCCTGCAAAGGAGCAATCCAGACTAGCCCAAGGGGCAGCAAGGGCTGGGGGCATCCAGAGGGACTGTGTGGGTCTGACCAAGGCAAATTATAGGGTGCAATTTAAGGAAAACACATTCAAGTACTCAAATAAGTAACAATTCTGGCATGTCTGACTCTAGTGGGGGGTCATGCACACTCCTTAGGGTGACATATAGGCTAACACTTTCATGGCAGAGAAAGTAAGTTTAACTTCCCAAAACAGCTTTAAAAAGAACTTTCTAAAGGCTAATAAACTAGAACAGTTCTCAACCTATAAGCAGATCATCTAATGGTGTCATGTTCAAAATAAAAGCCTATTTTCAAATTTACCAACAAAAAGTAAGCACTTTGGCCAAGTGATTGTTTTGAGGTACTCTTTGCATCTTTCTGCTCTTTTAAAGTTTTCTATAACCTTATCTCATTTTCTTTAAATCAAATTCTTACCTACGCTGTTGCAAGGAAGGTTTGAGAAAGAAGAGCTCTGAGAAAGCTGGGTGCTTTATTCTAGTCTGCTAAGGGAGCCATCGCCAGAACAAGCTGTACCCAGAGAATCCTGGGCAGACGGGACAGCTTGTCAGCCTTTCTTCCTCCCCTCTGGGAAGCCCTGAAGATGCAGTAAAATCCCACAAGGACATTATTATCTACAAATACAAAGATGTGCTCCAAAGGCTGACCAGGCACTAAGCATTAGCCACCTGTGCCCTACCCAATGCCCCATACAGACCTTCACAGGTTGGGGCACAGCCAGATAAAGACATCACTTGTGGCCTGCATCACCCCACTAATGAGCTAGGGGGCTGCTTAACATCACTTCCAACAACTTAGTACCTGTTAGTTCTTACAGGTACTGGGAAATACAGAACCTTCAGGAAATGGACATTACTCAAGCACAAGCAATACAATCTGATCATTTAAAGATCTTTGGCTAAAAATCAAACATTTCTGTGTCAAAGGAAAACTAAGATAAAATTTAACCTCAAAGTGCTTAGAAATCCTCAGTTAGGAAAATATTCTTTTCCTAAGTGCCAACACAGACACTTCTGGGCATCTGCTCTCGAGAGTGGCCCTGCTCACCTTTTCAAGTCAGAGATCTGAGTGTGAGCATCAAGCAGTTTGTTCTCAGTTGTGTTCAATGTATCCTACAAAAATAAAGGAAAAGATCAGATAACTGGAAGTGAATATTCAAATGCATTCCTTTTATTTTCAAATGCATAACACCACAGAGCCACAAAGAAAACAGACCTCTGTGAGGACAGCATTGAGACAGTGCCAACCAGATGAGCCCAGAGGCCAAGACAGCTGAAGACATTGGTTCATACAAACAGCGCTACAAAGATGTGTCCACCATACCTCCCCTGGCTAGAAACAATCCAGTGTTACAACGGGCATTGGCTAAATTATAACTGAGGGTCAGAACTTGGCCATTGACTGAAACATCACTAAAATGGCAAAACATCTGAGCTGAGGCGCTCCTGCTGCCCCTGGCATCTGGCTACTTGGCTGCGTGGCTAAGCAGCCTCACGAGTTCCCAGTAATCACCACGTCTTCTACAATGGAAGCGCTTGGATCCCACTTACAACATTTCTATGAGGGATCACCAGATTCAGATATGTAGCTCCCAAACAGAGCTCTAGTCAGGATTCCAGACACAATAAAATCACACACCACACAGAAAGCTAATGTTTTAAAAATGTTATTCTTAAAAATAATACAGATATTTATTTCCACTTATTTGGTGTCTTACACTCTTCTAAAGATTTCACCTAACCTCACCTCAAAGGCAACAGCCATTCCATACATAGTTTTTATATGCATTAGCAAATCCAACAAACTTTTGAGATGCACAGGCAGATAGCTGAAATAACAGCCAGAAAGGAATGAGGAAGGACAGAAAGGGGGGCGGCAGGGCCAGCCTCTTGACTGCCAGCCCAGCACTCCCTGACATAAGATTCAGACCAGGAGCAAGAAGCCCTTACCTTGACTCTTTCGTGTTCTTTCCCAAGGCACTCATATTCTCCCAGGAGCTACAAGGAAAGGAAGAATGACACCACAAAATCAAACACTGTAACAGCAACAAAGGGTTGGTCTATAAAATAACTTTCATATTTTCCAAAATGTTAATGTTACAAAAGAGCACAGTCAATACAGCTTTAGAATAAAGGTGATGACAAGGCCTGCACCTAGAGGCAGGGGCTGGCTGGATGAGAGCCCAAGGGTCAGCATGACAGGGCTGTGTGATGACTTACAAGTAGCCCCATTCTTAGAAAACGCAAACCAGAATGTGGGGCGAAATGTGAGTGTGGGGCACACCCACAACTTACTCGCCATGTTCAAGAGAAAACATGCATCCATATGAACAGAGCAAAGGACAGAGCCCACACAGTCATGCACACCTGGGATGCCTGGTACAGGTACAGAACAGCTCTTGCAATTTTCTGAGATTCAAAGCAAAATAAACACAACTTGAAACCTGAGTCAGTACCCTTAAGGTAAGCAATGTTTTAAGTCTGATGTTTATCTACATGACTCTTTAGGTTGCCGCTGCTACTTTTTGCTGGGCTGTTGTGCAGACCAAACTCAAAAACACCATCAGGCCATCCCCTTGCAAGCATACATGTAGAGGCTGTGCTGTCACAGGGTCTCTCCCCTATCTGAGAGCCCACTGAGCTCCCAGCAAGCGAGGTGGGGACCATATAAAGGCAGCCACATTCTAGGTCCGGTCGGAGTGAGGGCAGGCAGGAAGTCTCCCTGTCCCTGAGAAGCTCAGGTTGGTGGTGGGCTAGGCAGTGGCCCAGGCTGACCCCAGGGGATAGGCTGCAATTCCTCAAACAACACATCAGCTCAGGAACCCCTCCTTGTACCACTCAGACAGGTCACAGGACACGGAGACACAGAAGGGAGGCAAATGCAGCCTGGGGAGATGACACAGAACAAGAGGGGAGGGAGGCTGAGAGTACAGAGAAAATGACGAGATCAGCTGGCCTCTCACAGCCTCTAAAGCCCAGCTACACTAGAAGCTGGGAGATTCTTCTTTGGGAAAACTGAACCCCTGTGTGTTCCCATCTGGAGGTATCTAGCCAGGCTAGATAGCCACCTCAGCCAGTGCTGCTGCTGCAAGAGAGGGCAAGTGGGATGCTTGGGCCACACCCAGCAAGAGCCACACCAGCCTCTGCGCAGCCTCTCTGCCTGTGAGTTGCTCACGTTTGCAAAATAAATTCAACATGAAAAAGACTACAAATCAAAATGAAAGAAGAAGCAATGATTCAAAACTAAAGAAAAGTTTAATGTCCTCAGAGGAATGTCATATTCTTTTTTTTTTTTTTAAAGATTTGTTTATTTGTGCATACAGAACTGGGGTACAGGCCAGAGGCTCAGGGGCGGTGAGAGGCTTCACCAGAGACAGAGCGGGGAACAGAACAGGCAGATCGACGAAGGCACACTGAGGGGAGCAGCGGGTGGGTCAGGAGAGGTCTGCCACGCCATGTGGTCATCTCTGGGGGAGGGGGGAATCGAACTCATGCGGAAGCAGCTTTAGATTCTCAGTGCTGTGCTTTAACCCGCTGCGCCACCAGGGAGGGCCAGGAATGTCATATTCTTACAGGAACAAAAAGCTATGAAAAACGAGCACAAGAAAGAGCTCCTAGAAACTGAAAAGTGAGAGAGGAAACAAATTTAAGGCTAAGACCAGAATACAAAGAGTGAAAAGGTCCTGGTGGAAAAACTGAGACATAAATACATCTCCAAGAGCCAGCATGTAGTGTGCCATCCACTAGCCACCACCACAGGGGCCTGTCTACACGCCCCACGTGGAAACAGCCAGCACTGAGCCTAAGACGTTAGTAGGGAGGGCAACTGAGAAACTGAATTCTAAATCTTATTTAATTAATAGAGGTAAACATATTAGATAGCAGAGTTCTGTAAAACTCTGTCAAGTTATAATGGACAAGACAAGAAAAAGGCCCATTCCAGATTCAAGGGGATAAGAGCTATAGGAAGTGGATGGCGTATGTACCCCTCCTCACTCCATGAGGGGAAGATGTGTCTTCACTACAAGAACATCATCAGCAAGATCATTTTCAAAGATTGAATAAAATGTTCAAGTTAAATAAGACTACCGTGGGGCTCTCCCTGGTGACACAACGGGTTAAAGCACAGCACTGTGAAGCTATCTGCAGCCTCTGCAGCACAGTTTGATCCCCGATCACAAAGCTGACCCACATGGCACAGCAGACCTCTGCTGACTGGCCCACTACTGCCCTCAGCAGTGGATTTCACTCATCTGCTTATTCTGCTCCCCACTCTTATCTCTGGTGAATACTCTCACCTTCCCTCACCCCATACCTCTGGCCTGTACCTCAGTTCTTGTATGCATAAATTAAAAAAATGTTTAAAAAAAGAGATTTATTTATTTACATATGCATACAAGAACTGGGGTACAGGTCAAGGGTGTGGGGGCGGAGTGAGAGGTTTCATCACAGACAGAGAGGGGAGCAGAACAGGCAGATTGACTGAAATACACTCCTGAGGGAAGCAGCAGACAGGACAAGAGAAGTTTGCCACACCACATGGGTCACCACTGGCCAGGGTTCAAACCTGAACTGCAGTGTCTGTAGGCAGCCTCATAGTGCTGCGCTTCAACTCAATGTGCCAGCAGGGAGGACCCAAATTTAAAAAAAAAAGGACTACCATGTTATTACTAGCTTCTTAATTTTGCTATAGTTGTATAAAAGGCATTCCTGATTTTTAGGAAACACACCCTGATGTATTTAGAGATAAAGGATAAAGGTACATTTATCCCCAACTTTACTCAGTTTAGAAACAAGCCTCTAACTATATGTGGACAGAATAAATCACATATTGTAAAATGCTGACCTTTAGAATCTAGTATGTATGGAAATTCTTTATACATTTTTTAAAATGTTCTGTAATCTCATATTTTATCAAAGCATAAAAAGTTCCAAATACCAAAAGCACGTGTCTTCACATAATCAAGTCATCCCACCAGTACACATGAGTAAAACAGGCACAGTCAAAGCCATGCAAATGCTACCCAAACATGGCACCGCTCTTGAAATAACTGAAATGTTTTTCCTTTGAGATTTGACTATAAAACAATTTACATATACTGCCTTCATGAAAATAAATTAAAAAACCCAAAGCACTAATAATAAAATCTCAAATTATCAGGAAAGAGCTTTCAAAAGCCAAAATTTTCAGGCTTTTTTATGTGCTGTGACAAAGCAAGAGACAGTAGGAAAACTTAAAAAGAATACGTAGCCTGAAGTCTAATTGGGCTTTGATGTTATATAAACTTTTTTACTCAACTTTTAACTAATATTAAATCAAAGTAAAAAAATTCAGTCAAACCTATTCTAAATCTGGTACATTTTCCTCTGCCAGACACAAAGCTATTGATTAAGAGTGAGCAGAAGCAGACCTACAAAACAGCAGAGTAACACCACGCTCTGAAAGCACTGACTTCCTGCTCAAGGTAAAACCCATCAGGAGGATCTGCAACTACTGCAAAGTCATGCAAAATAAGCATAAACCTGGGTAACATCAGAACAGTGTGTCAGAGTTCAGTCTCTAAAATGACCTTTTACCAATCATGCCATTCAGTTACCGTTATGTCACTTACATCTTGAAACATTTTGTTTTCCTGTTTTAATCTAGTCTCTTTATCATCTGAGAGCTTATAAGCATTCTCAAAAGCTTCTTCCAAATCCTGCAGTCTAGATTTTAATCGTAGGATGGTGCTATCTTTTTCTTTACTACTTGTTCTCATTTCCTCAATTCGTTCCTGTAAAATTTTGGAGGCACTGCTGGCTGCGCTGAAGCGTTCTCTGAAATCATTCTACAAAGTAGAGAAAAGGATAATACATTTCTTAATGAAAACAGATACTTCAAAAGTAGCTTCCAAATTGTAGGCATTAAAATCTGAAAGTAAAGTAATAAAGTAAAACATAGCAATGGAAATCAATACTTAGTATTTTGTCATTTCCTGGGACTGAAATTTAGAAAGGGATCCAACTACTAGAAAAGCAGCTCCATGAGATTATTAGAAGTCGGTAGAAAACCAGTTTGAGGCACCTTGTAGCACTCTCCTACAGTTGACTCTAATGAGGAAAAAGCAGCCATGGGAATCAGTAGGGAAATGACTCTGTAATCAAGATTAACATTTAGGGAAAAAACACATCTAATATACTAATATTAAGTCCACAATCTTTTTGCAGGTGAGATACAATGGATGTAAAATATTAGTTTCCCTGAAACTACAAATATCTCCTGTATATCCATTTGGTACCAGACACAAAGGTGCTAGGAAAATAAGATAATCAAGAAAGATAAGCCCCTGCCTTTATCAAGTTTACTCGTTAGAAAAAAAGATAACCAGGAGTTACTGAAGACAATATGATAAACATAACTGGCATTTTCCACCAAGACTTTGTTTATAAGATTACCACTAGAAGAATAAAAATGGGTAATCAATGAAAAAAAGAAATTAGTTGAAAGTTAACATACTCTCACATTTTATGGAGGTGGGATGGGGAGTGGGATCAAAAACAGTGGTGAAGGGGAAGTGCACTGTATTACGGTGATGGCCCACGGCTAATTCAGTCCCACAGGTATTACAAATGAGATGGGAAAAGGCACAAAATGATGTAAAAATAAACTATTATATTATTTTTTTAAAAAGCTAACATACTCTTAGCAATATACCCAAGGAAATGGAAGACATCATCTATGTAAAATCTGGTACTTAAGTGCTCACAACACCATCGGATTCACAACAGACCATACACCCAGACAGCCACAGATGGCTGCACAGATGAAATGTGGTCTGCCCTTACATGTGACTTGGCCTGAGCCACCCTGACACATGCTACCACAGGATGAGCCTTCACACCATGCTGCCTACAAGAAGCTCAACCTGCAAGGCCATGTGCCATGGGACTGCATAGACATGAATGTCTACAGTCAGCAAGACCAGAGACAGAAGACAGGGTGGCAGATGCCAGGGCCATGTTCGCGGGAAGGGGCTGAATTGACAGGTCCAGGTTGGCTTCTGAGTGAGAAAAATGTTCTAGAATTGATTGTGGAGAAGGCCAAAACCTTCTGAACACCAAAACAAGTGGATTGTACTTTAAAAGGGTGAGTTTTATGAAATGTAAATTATATCCAATTAAAAGTGAAATTTTTAAAAGGTAACAGATATATCATTGTATAAAGCCCGAAGTACTCCAAATATGACCTTACTGAGCAATAAAATATCCTGAAGGGAAAACAAAACACAACCAATACTACTACAAAACTAACATTTGTCTCTAAAATTCAAGCTAAAATCTTTAAATTTTACTTTAATTTTTTTAACATTAATTCATTAGAACAATGGCAAAAAACAGTCTTTACTTACCACTTCTATCTCCAGTAAGTTATTCTTATTTTCAAGAGTTCTCACACGACTAGTAGCTTCACTAAGAGCAATGTCCAACTGGCCACATCTAAAAACCATAAATTGAAACGAAGCAATTAAGAATCTAAAGTAATTTTCCTTAAAAATATTATATAAGGCCCTCCCTGGTGGCGCAGCGGGTTAAAGCACAGCACTGAGAATCTAAAGCCGCTTCTGCATGAGTTCGATTCCCGCCTGCCCCGGAGGTGACCACATGGTGTGGCAGACCTCTCCTGACCCACCCGCTGCTCCCCTCAGCAGTGTGCTTCCTCGATCTGCCTGTTCTGCTCCCCACTCTGTCTCTGGTGAAGCCTCTCACCCTCCGCATCTCTGGCCTGTACCCCAGTTCTGTATGAATAAATAAATAAATCTTTAAAAAAAAATTATATAAATCTGACTCTTCAATATATAGCATGAAACAACAGCCCTTGTGTTAACTAAGCCATGCAAATACCACTTTTGCAAAACAGATCGATGTCAATGAAAACATTAGTCTCCAGAGAAAACGATAATATGAAAGGATGCCTAAGAAATACTAAGTAGAAAAAGAACAGACACTCATGTACCCTGTTTACTGCAGCACCACTCATGGCAGCAGTGAAAAGGTGGGATCAACCCAAGTGTCCACCAGGATAAAGGGACAAAGAATGCCCTAAAAAGGACAGAACTCCGTGCCTGTCACCAATGCAGGCAAGTCTGGAGAGTGCCAGCTAAAAGCCAGATAAACCCTGCAAGCTCTGCTCAGGAGGGGCCCAGAGAAATCAAATTCATGGAGACAAAGCAAAAAGGGGGCTGTAGGGGTTGAGGAGAGCAGCGTTTGCCCAGTGAAGAGAATTTTGTAAAATAAAAAAGCTCTGGAGAAGGATTAACAGATATAGGAGATGACATAAAATAGCTCAATCCTACTTACTAAAAAGTCCATATATACATATATTGATTGCATGGTGCTTTCTAAAGGACAGAAATAATTAAGCTTGGGATATAAGAAGCCTGTCAAGATAGGGACTCATTTTTCACAGTATTTCCTCTGTATAACTCCAATCTTGGCATGAATAGTGTTAAGGATTTCTTGGTAAAGTGAATTACAGAACCTCAAAGAAAGAAGAGAGGAATTTAGTTTCCACTTTGACTGAGGCTCGATGGTGCTCTGTGAATGAAAGCTCACTTTATTCAGCACTGATCACACAGAAACACACCAGCCCTTCACAGTCATCCTCACCATCTTGCTAGGCCTATCCAGGTCATGAGGGAAAAACAAGGCAAATGGGCAAGCTTCTTGCTGAACCCCAGGCCACAGCAGGCTCACTGGGGTGCCAAGTCAGGCCCAGCCTGCCCACAACTCCCTGGTGCCTCAAGAAACACCACCAAAAGCAGGCTGAGCTGGGAAGGAAGAACCCAGCAGCCAGGAACCCCAGTGCACTCAGTGCCAAGGCTGCTTGGCACTTCAAGGGCTCCTGGGAGCATCTTTCAGACTTCTAGTTTTGCGTTAGTATCTATCTCCAGTCATGTTTGCCTGAAAGAAAAAAGAACCAATTTCCCTGACTTGCTACCACTATCTGTTCTTTTAGTCCTAAAGTACCTAAACCTGGGTTTTTCCCCTGATCTTTTCAATATTCTCCCTCCACCATCGCACCCCAACACCTCCACCACCAGCACAAAGGAAGCTGCAGGCCCGCATGGTAACCTCGCCAGCAAGCCAGGCCAGCAAGCCAGGCCCCACCGTGTGGGGATACGCATATCCACCTGCCAGGGAAAATGGTACCTGGACCAGAAGAGTTTGGCTGCCTTTTCTCAAGGGACTCTGTCCCTCTTTCCTCTGAGAAGAGTTCTCCCTTGACATCTATACCTGAGCTGTTTCCATCATTCAGGTCCCACTGAATTGTAAAGTATGTTCCCCAGAGACAGGCTGTGAGGTGAGCTGCTGAGGCCATACCAGGAGAGCTCGCCTACCATCTCTGGGGGTGAGGAGCCAAAGCCCTGGTCCAGAGACCTGAGTGAGGCTTCCCCACTTTCAACGAAAGGAGGAAAGCATCAGACCTGAGACTGGAGACCTGGGCAGGACTGGAAACCATGAGAGGAGAGATGAGAGGAGCTGGACTGGCCACCTGCTGGGATCTCTCTCACCAGGAACTTCTACTGACACTGGGGGGAACAGGATTCCCAGTGCCAGAATTATAAGACTCAGAAGTAGTATCATGTGACAGTCTCCAGAAAGGATGGGACAATCAGTGTGCATGAGTACAGCACCCACAGATCACACTGGTCTGGAGAAAACAGAACAGTCTCGTGTATCACAGGAAACTCCAAAATCAAGGAGTCAGGAGAACTGCTCCACACCGCTGCCCTACAAGAGGTCCCTGAAGTGCTTGGCTTGGCTTCCTGCTTCCCAGCTGCTCCCAGGGTTCTGACAGCCTGGTCTGTTGCAGCCCAGGAGCCCAGGTCCTCACCCAGGAAAGGGACAAGTTTCCAGGAAAAGATGAGGCCTGGGCCGACCATCTCCATGAGGAAGTTGTAGGAGAGATAGGGCAAGAGAGGGAGACAAAGGGGAGTAGGGTGGCAAGTTGGTAATTGCTTGTGGGAGGGCTGCACCTCAGAGAACAGTAACAACAGAAAGATGACCCACGATCTAACAAAAAATATTTAAAAAAAAGATGAGAACAGCACTGCTGTCAAGGTTAATGGAATGTGTACTTAGTTTCATGTTTTAAGTTCTGGAACAATAAGTATCTACAGCTACAACCTTCAAAAGCAAAAAGAAAAGAAGGTAAAGTACATCACAAATACTATTACAAGTATCAGTTAAAGCTCAAATTTTCTAAGTGATTCTTTCCACAGTGTCCCAGTTGTTTCCAACAGGTTAATGGGAACTGCAGTATTTTCAAAGTTATGAACACCTCAGTATTAAAGCAGAAAACCGCCCCAACACATCAGACATACAACTTCCAGGAACCTCTAACTGGTACCAATCCCCTTCCACAGGATGTGCCTCTGCATATACAAAATCTGCTTATATGAGACAAAAGCCTTGTGTCAGTTATCAGCTTCAAAGGAGGGGCTAGTTCAAATCTTCAGAAGATTTGCACAGGCAAACACATTTCTGTACTAAAATTTTCAAGTATAAAGAGAAACACATATCTTTCACAGCAACTTGCATGGAGCTGGAAAAGATCATGCTTAGTGAGATAAGCCAGAAAGAGAAAGAAAAATACCGGATGGTTTCACTCATAGCAGGAGTATAAT